TCTACCACAGTGAACTTTCGCGAAAGCTCCATATGCCTGTGATTTTGGGGTTAGAACATAATGCAATTGCTAAAGGCTCAATGGCTAATGCAAATAGAAGAGGGCTGAGTGGGCATCCTTGTCTCGTTGAACGATAAAGGCGGAAGTAATCAGAATAAGTAGTGTTAGTTCTAACCGAGGCTAGTGGATTGGAGTAAAGTAGTCTGATCCGAGATAAAAAGGTGTCTCCTAAACCAAATTTCTTTACTGTATAAAACAAATGAGGCCATTCCACGCGATAAAAATCCTTTTCGGCATCTAACGAAATGAGTGCTTCTTGTGAGTTGCTTGGTGAGGTATCATAGATTATATTGAATAGTCTCCTAAGATTAGAAAAAGAATGTCTATTTCGAATAAAACCTGTTTGGTCCGGATTAACAATAGTGGGTAAATGAGATTCAAGGTGTGTAGCCAGAACCTTGGATAACAGTTTAAAATCTACATTTAAAAGGCTTATGGGGCGGTAAGATGAACAGTTAAGGGGGTCCTTTCCCTTCTTCAAAAGAACTGAGATTGTGGCCTGATTAAGTGTTTGGGGTAAAACTCCGGAATTAAAGGCGCTATACCCGTTTCTGCAATGTTTGAATGTTTAGCACCGCCCCCCAACTCGCTCAATGGCTTCTCATTTCCCCTGCGCTCTCATAACACAGAGCCACCTAGTTTTATTTGCGATCTGATACGTATGCTAACATTAGCATTAGCACAACTTGTAAGCTGTGCAACAATCACAGATGAAATGGTACTAAAGCAACGCACTGCTAACACAATATATAAGTAAAAGAATACCGCTAGTTTCGCGTCCGAATGTATTAATTTAAAACCTTAGAATATATTCTAATATTTAATTATAATTTGTTATAGAGCTCCTCAAAGCAGCAGCAGCAATTCTTCCGATCATTTTTCTTGATAACAGAACTCTCAAACCAATAATGACCGAAGCCCCAATGCAACCTCTGTTTGTAATTCAGGTGTGTAAAATACTGCCATTACTCTGCAAGTACAAGAAGCTTTCAGCACCTGTCACTACACACTTGCCTGTGTAGAGAAGCCAACGGAGCTAGCGGAGCTAGCCACGCTCAATAAACAACTACATATCTATCAATCAACACCATTAAACGTCAATCGGACAATACGGTACACATATACATCCTTAACACACATGCACGGATGATTTCAGAATTTGCTGTTAACGTTTTCATGACAAAAATACTGTTTTAAAGTGACAAAAAGCGATTGCGAAAAACCCGGAAGTTACCATGAAACAACTAGCTAGCTTAGCTGTTACCTGCCTAGCACGTCCCGGTGAAACCTTTGGGAGCTAACTATTTTATTTGCAGTCATTAAATACATTTCGAATTACAAGGGTTGTCTAATATTTGTTCACATTTTTTTATTCAATTATTTTGTTCATATTTTTTTATTTTAGAATTATATTCGAATTTTGAAGTTGAAGCCCTGGTGTTAAGCAGCGCTGTAGAGGCTAGAGGACGCAGGCTGCTCGCTGCTCGTTCTGTGAGCGGAGGAGAAAGAGCGGCCCGCTCAGACTCTACTCAGCACTTTTCACTGCTTGTAATTCTTACACAGCTGAATCAATTACCTCAAGTTTTCAATTAAATGATGTATTATGATACAACTTGTATGTAGTAAAAAGCATTTTTATGAACTACTTAGAAAAAAAATCGGGTATAGCTTCTTTAAATGATTCATTATACATGTCCAATAGCAAAGGGGCAATTTTATCTTTGAATGTTTTATAAAACTCCGACGGATAGCCATCGGGGCCCGGACATTTCCCACCCTGAAGAGACTGTATGGCAGAATTAAGTTCAGCGAGAGCAATTGGTTTGCCCAAATTAGTAGCGGTTTCCTGAGTGAGCGTGGGAATAGTTAAACCTGAGAAAAAAGTTTCAAAATCGTCATCTGTAGGAGTGCATTCAGATGTATATAGTGAGTTGTAAAATGTTTTAAAGGTCGCATTAATTTCCGAAGGATCAGCTGTTACACTCTGAGCTGCTTGGATTTTAGTTATTTGGCGAGAGGCAGATACCTGTCGGATTTGGTGTGCCAGCAATTTACCAGCCTTATCACCATGCTCAAAGAAACGAGCACCTGATTGAAGCATAAGTTCAGTAGTACGGTAAGTCATAATTGTGTCAAATTCTGATTGTAATGAAACACGATCCTTATACAAATTCGGAGAGGGTGAGAGTGAATATATATTGTCGAGTTGTGAGATTTGCTCTCTCAAACTACGTAGCTTTTCTTGTCTCACTTTATTCTCATGGTGTATATATGACATAATTTCTCCCCTCATATATGCTTTAAACGACTCCCAAAGGAGAGAGGCAGACACCCCTGGGGTTCTATTGGTGCTTAGAAAAAAGTCAATTTGTCCCAAGACAAAGATAACAAAATTATTGTCCGACAATAAGCGCACATTTAATCGCCACCGTGGATGTTCAGTTGACATCATGCTCAGTTTGACGTCCATTACTAGTGGTACATGATCAGAGAGAACAATAGCATCATAACGACATGAAGTTATAGATGAAAGTAATCGATTATCAACCAGAAATAAATCAATGCGAGTAAATGTACGATGCACGGACGAAAAAAAAGAATATTCTCTTTTAGAAGGATTAAAAAAACGCCATGAGTCAGTTAGAGAATTCGTCCATAAAGGACCAGATCACTTTTGCCGAACGTGAAACGACAGCTGGTTTTGCCGAGGAGCGGTCTAAATTAGGATCGAGCCAACAGTTAAAGTCTCCACCCAATATCAGATAATGCGTAGACATATCCGGTATAGAGTGGAATAAACGCTTAAAGAAGGATTCGTTGTCGGTGTTTGGCGCGTAAATATTAACTAATGCAATACGACGGTGCAACGGTTTTTCTCAATTTTCTCATGAACGGCAAAACGTAGCGACTTACTTTTTTTTTCTCCGTGAAGTACACATTTTGGGCATTACAGCGCTAGTTTTGTTTTTTACTGTGTGACTTTTGGGGGATTTTCTACGTGTGTTTGAAAGTCGGTGTCCAATCGGATCTTCGAGCGGTCTCCCGTGAGGTAAAACAGCCAAAACAGTAAAGTTATTTTGCTTACACGCTGACACAGGGACTGCCAAAGATTGTCAGAGAGTAGGATGATTCACTCTCCTGTGTGTATTTATTGTCCCATAGTTGAAATTACAGCTGCGATTGCAATTACTGATGCGTAAAAGACGCATTATTTTAGCGGAATGTTACGAAAATGCGTCCCCGACACAGCTAATGTAGCTTTGTATCACTGATCTACGTGATCTGCGAGTGATGTGTGTGTTCAGAGTCTGGGCTTGAAAGTGCATTACACAAAGATAGGAGGAGACGCAGATGCAGCGCTCACAAGAGCTAGCACCGGGCTGAAGAGTGCGCATTATTGATGTAATTATATTATATATTTATTATTGACATCGATAAATACATTATAATGATATGATGTATATGAATATAAGATGTTGTTTTTCTTTCTTTGTTTTCTTAATTTTTTTGTTTTACATATCTTACAGCTGTGATACTGAAGCAATATATAGACATAGACAAACTGCTTCAGGAAGGGCATCAGGAGTACAGCGTTTTTTTCACTTTTAGTGGAATTTTGTAAAAATTATAATAGTCAACCCCAAGACCCTAAATAACATTTCTATACAGTGTAAAAAGTTAGCAATAGCATTTCATTGTGTTTTTCAAAACATTTTGGTGAAATTGAATTTCACCAAGGTTGTACTGAAAAAAACAAAGTTTACTGCTTGACTCTGCATCACAAGATGACTGTTTTATGAGCAATTATACACAAAGAAAACCAGGCGAGGAAAGTTCCCCAAAATGAGCTTAGACCTTGAAGGGTTAACATCAGAAATAACCTGGTCCGAAACAAAGGGAACAGATTTATGTAAGAGAATAGCCGTGCCCCTGGCCTTACCAGAAAAAGAGGAATGAAATATCTGACCCACCCAGCTCCTCTTCAATTTCAGATGATCTACATTCCGAAGATGAGTTTCTTGCAAGAAAGTACCCCGAGCTCCAAGTTGCTGAAGATGATGAAGCACTTTACTGCGTTTAATGGGGTTATTAAGTCCCTTGCAATTAAAGCTTGTGAACCGGAGGTCCTGTCCTATTGAAGACAGCATAGCATCTTAGATTTAAACAGTAGGGTTGTATGAGGGCTAACTTGGACAATTGGTCGACAATATAAAACAAAAAGAGAGGTTGGCGTGCAAAAACAAAACAAAATGAAACAAAAACATGAAACATCAGAACTCTCGCAGAAGCATCCCCCCAAACGGGATGCGCGATGCCCACTCCACCCCAAAACACCCATAACCTAGCCTGCAAAGGGCCCTGGAGGAAGATTCAACTATAAACCCCTCCAAATGGAATGTGAAATATAATTTAAAAAATTAGAACACACCTTGTTAGGTAAAAAAAAAACCAGTGGTATAAAAATAAAATTAAATACATAAAGTATATAACAAAAAATAAAAGAATACAAATAAGACCCATTAAAGTACAATCTAAAGAAATATTAGCAATAAGAAAAAGAAAAAAAAGAAAAAGAAAAAACAAACAAAAATCAGACGAAAAAAATGAGAGGCAATAATCTACACACAAAAAAATGCGGTGGCTAATGATCACACAAAAAATAATAAATAAAATAAAATAAATAAATAAAAAATAAATAAAGTAAAATAATTAAAAAAGTTATCAATCAATCAAGAAAAATAATTATTATTAATTCCCTGTCAGGATAACAATATCTCCTAATACAAATACAGATATTAGTAAGCATGAAATGGTGCTGGACATATCAAGTAAGTGGACCAACATAATAATGCCAGTACAACAATGAGAACACTCAAATTATAGTATGTTGTCATAATGTCAGAGCAAAATGTTTACTTCAACCGGTAGGTTACCTAACTTCAAACAGACTCCGGGATCACCACAGTTTTTAAACGTTTCAGCACAAAGTCCATAGCCAATGTCAGGTCTTCAAATTTGTGAGTTTGTCCGCTCGGAGGAGTAATATGCAGTCTCGCTGGATAAAAAAGTCCAAACTTCACACCAGGACACGAGTGAAGCTCTTTCTTGACTTTGGCAAAAGCAGCTCGCTTCTTGGCCACAGAAGTAGTGAAATCCGGGAAGATTGAAACCCTCTTTCCTTTGTAAAATAAGGGTCCAGATGATCCAGCTTTTTGTAGGATTACGCAGCGTTGTTGAAACATATTCACTCTCACAACAAACGGGCGAGGAAGCTCCCCGTCCTTTGGTTTAGGGCGGAGGGTACGGTGGGCACGATCCAGGACTGGTTCCACGTCCAAGCCGAGCAAGCCCTGGAGCAGTTTGGCCACAAATACAGTTGGACGGGAGTCCTCGGAGCCTTCCGGGACACCCACCACGCGAATATTATTCAATCTCGACCTTCCTTCCCAATCCTCACACTTCTGCGTCAGGGAACCAACACGCTCAGTCAGCGACGCTACCGTAGCATTTAGGCTAGTTAGCTGAGCATCGTGGTCAGTAGCAGTATCCTCGAGGTTCGCAATGGTTTGATCGTGCGCAATAATCTTTCTTTGCAAGGGCTCACAGACAGCAGAGATTTCCTTTCTTATTGCTAATCTGTTCAAACTGACTTACAATGTCCGTGCGCATAGTCTCCATCATTACCTCCATGCGTATTAGCAGCCGCTCGTTAGCATTATTAGCATCCTGCTCGGAAACGGCTCCAGGCTCAGGCGAGCCCTCAGGCTGCGTGAGGCCCACCTTAGCTGCATCGGTCTTTGCTCTGGTGTACATGATTGTCTGAAGGTTCACTGCTGATTCAAGAGTCGACTGACAGTAATTGTTATCAGCAACAAGTGGTGTCCAAAAAAAAGTTTAAATAAAGGTGTCAAAATACATTTAGAATCACATTCTAGCGGAGATACGTCTCACATGCTGCGCACTCCACCGCTCCCCAGCGTTGCAATTTCTTCAAGTCCCCCTCATAGCTACGGACCAAAAAAATATTGCCCAGCCGCAGCAATCGTCACCAGCACATGCCTGTACAGTGCAGCCTCACCCCAGCGTTAGCACAGGCCCGTAATCAATAGCCTTTATGTGTCTGTTAAACTTAGTGCCGCTCGGCCTGATGGGAAATGTAGATCAGCGGGTAAAAGGGTGTAAACTTCCTCTGTGTTGCTGCCAGCGGTTCATCTGATTCCAACCGTCATTAATTATTGAAGGAGCAGGAGTTAACGACGAACGGGCCGCTCCATTTGAACGTTTTTAAGGAAAATTAATTATTGATTGGGGTCACTGCGAAAGGCCTTTATGACTGCAACACGAAAGTCCGTCACACAAAACCTAGCAATGTAGCTGTGTGTGTTTATGTGCATGTGAAAGTCAGATCCTGCCAGACCTCTGAAGCTAAGCAGGGCAGGGCCTGGTTAATACAGTGATGGGAGACCTCTAAGAACATAAAATGCCACAGTGGAGCGGCTGTGGCTGCAAAGTGCCAAACTGTTGTAGTGTCCTTAGGCAAGACACTTCACCCACATTGCCTGGAATGAGTCTGGTGTATGAGTGAATGGCCTCCTTTCTGTCAGTGTGCCCCAGGGCAGATGTGGCTACAGAATTAGTTTATCATCTCTGTGTATGGAGTTAGAGAATAATCACATGTGCAGTGTCTTTGACTGTCCAAAAAAGCATTATATAAAACCCGTGCATTATTGTGTTTTTTAGTGAGGGTTGCGTGTCTCCATGATGAGGTCTGGAGTCTCAAAGCTATTTTAAAGAAGACATTTTTTCTCTGTTTAGTTTTATTTCCATTTTAGTTTTGTATTTTGTCAACCCCTGTATCTTCCCTGCAGAGAGACTGGCCTCCTAAAGGTGCCAAATAAACTTGCCTTGCCTTTAGTTCTAGCAACTACCCAGTACTTTTTAGTAACAGCTTGCCCCTGGTTCTAACCGGGCCGAGTGGATACCAAAAAAATTTGACATCGGCGAACGTCTATTGTGATTGGTCAGAGGCGCTGTCAATCACTCTTCAGCTGGTGCCTCATCCTATGCAAAAAAAACATATACATCAAGTTCCTGCTGGAGACTATGAAAAAGTCCGTACAGAAAACAATTCCTTGGTCGCTGGATGAGGTCAACACTTTCCGCAGTTTGAGGAGAGGACAAAATCCAGCGTGAGCTCGATGAGTTTAGCTCCTGAATAAATATACACAAGATTCAAACTGTGCCATCTTCTCTAACAATAACAGCCGAGAAAGTCAATGTTTGTGCTCAGAAGAGAGAGACGCAAACACGGAAAACCAAAGGAGCAAGCGTTCGAGGAAGGTTTGTTTAGAGCCCATTATGTTTGACTCTTTAGTGAGAATGTTTTTTTCTTTTTATTAACCAAATATTTACTTTTATTGATACGAGTATAGATACAATGATATCACATACTGTATTTCTATAAACAACATGAGTGCAGCTGCATGGATTGAAACCAAACTGGACCAAAGAGATGACGGCTGAGTGTTGTAGACCTCAAGGTTCGATACGATTCACGTTCAGGGTTCAATCCAATCCACTCTATTTACAGTATATAGCACATTTTATAAAACACGTTTCCAAAGTGCTGCACAGAATCAAAAATACACAGAAAAACACATTAGAATATATTAAAATGCCAACTTTCCATGAAAATAATTAAAATTTGGACATGTTTGAAGAAAGGGGCAGGCAACATAAGATTTGTTTTCTTCTTTCTGCTCTTTTTCATTTGTGTGACAAGACAACACTTATCTGAAATGTAATTGAAATATGTGATGTATTGTTTGGTCCACAATTGAAATAAATAAATAATACTCCGTTCCTAAAGCCTAGCGTACATGGACAGAGTAACTGGAGACAGCTAGTTGCAAGGCGGCTTTTGGCAACTGAGAGTAGATGGTGGAGATGATCAGTTGCTGAAATCGGTCGATGTGAGCGCTCTTACAACTGGAGATAAACAGTCGATCTCCGGATTCAGTCAGTTGCCCGTGTTCTACTTTTCGGCAACTAGTTGTCCTCAGATCCGGAGATATCACCCGATGTGCGCGCTCCGACAACATGTGTGTATTGCGTGTATTGCGCCCTCTACAGTTTATGTCAGAAAACACACTGTTGAGGCCAGTTGCTGTCGATGTACGCGCTGTTATTCCCCAGACTGGTCTGCTTCTAGGAGTCGCCCGTTTTCGCCAGATTGTCGATGTGTGCGGGGCAGTAACTCATAGGCGACGGATATAATCAGTTGCCTGTCCGATGTACGTTAGGCATAAAAGGATACTATATCACAGAAACCAACCTTGTCCTTAAAAATAAAGTAATAAAAATGTTCAACTTTTATGATACCATTTTTGGGGGGAATTTCTCAGAATTCCATTGGTTCGAATGGGAGCAGACAAAATGACGGTTCTGGGAGCACAAGTGCCGAAAAAAAGTTATTTCGTCTTCAACACCAGACACTTGTACGATAGTGACGTTATTGCCTTATTAAATCGCTTTGCTTTTTTAATGTTTTTTTTAAAGTTTGGAAGAAATCAAAGAACAATATCACAGCCTCAGAGTGAAAACATACCGGAGACAAGACTAACAAATCAAAAACATTTCCCCAGAACGTACTTTTATTGTCTTTAATGAACGGCGCGTCGGCCTCCGCTCCTCAGATGTGGCGATGACTTTTGATTATTTGTGTGGGTGCTTTTCTTTGGTTGTGTTTACGCATGAGAGAAGGACGTTGTTATTATCCATTACACGACCGCACACACAGAGCAAAGACAACCCTGCTTATTATTCCACCGGCTGCGCTTTAAACGTTTGACCGTGGACGTTTCTGCCTCAAACACTAACAACGACGTTTATCTATCCAAAGTGTATGCAAACTGTTTACGACATGAAAGCCTGGAGCAAAAATTCATTATTGAAGAATTAAAACAAAAAATGTTTTATGAATTTTGATGGAAGAGAGAGATGTAGCTTTAGGTCTGATAGACTGTGATGACATTGTACCTACACTGCAAATGGTGATGAAAGAAATTAAAAATTGCTAAATCTTTAGCAAAATGTATCTTAACTTGAACATGTTGACTGCCTTAAAACAAGATTTACCAACGGGACAAAGCAAAATTATCTTATCATTAAAAAGATACAAGAAATGTCTCCCTTGGAATAAGAAAATACAGCAACAGTTGAAAAAAGACTAAATGGCTTTGTTTCACTGTCAAATCTGGTTTTATGACAGTCAGAAAGTACTCAAATTAAGATCCAAACTACTCGATCGAGCGATTTTCACCTAATATTCTATCAAGTTTTGCAGTGTAAATTCAAAACGGTGTTGATAGATAGATAAACAAATAGATAGATAGATAGATAGATAGATAGATAGATTACTGATCCCCGTAGGAGAAATTCAAGTGTCCAGTAGCAGCAACAATAAAAAATAAAAATTATTTTCTAAAAAGAAAACATTAGTAATAATAGCCCTTCAGGTCACAGCAGCAGAGGTGGAGAAGCCTCTGGGTGGAGCAGGACAGGTCAAAAGGTGGAGCAGCCTCTTAGTTCGGACAATTTTCTCTGCTCTAGTCCAAAGTAAAATGCTAAATGCCTCATTAGCATTTTTCTAAAAGTTAGCATTCCTCCAGTGGATTTTTGCGTCCGCTTGGTTCAGACCATGAATCCTCTCTGCTCTGGTCTGGACCAGTGTAGAACCATGAACACTGAACTACAGCAACATCTCAGGTAGAAAAAAAGAAATACAAATTAAAATCGTAAAGCACAAAACAACAACTGTTTCAGAGCTACTTAGGATTATTACTGTACGTTGTTTTATCTTCAGTTTCCTTGTTTAAAAACTGTGCTCTACAAATAAACTTGCCTTGGCATCGCCCCACATCATTTAAACAAGTGGGACATCTAAAATTGATTGTTAATTTCTCGCATTTAGATGTGATTTTATTTATTCATTAATTTGTATTGAATCATTATTCGATACGTTTCCCACATTGTAAATCCCACCTGAATCTGGATTGGCCCTGACAAGCTTCAGGCCTATTGACCAGATGCATGAATGTCATCCAGTCACGTGATTGTGAATGAGCTTACGGCGGAAGCATTGGAAACTAGCATTGCTGCGAGAGCAAAACGGACACAACTCTTAAAAACGGAGCTTCCTCTCCTAAATCGAGAAGTGGCTGCTTCAAGCACATGTTCGATTACGTTATAGGTGGAAGTAGGACATCAGGTCAGGGCTCACAAAGAGTGGTATTTGGAGAAGTTAAGGATTGCCTAACTGGATGTTGACCCGTACCTTCTCCCCCCAGTCAATTTTATCGATTAAATAAAATGTCTATTTTTGCCCAAATTCACCCTACATGATCTTTATCATTATCGTTAACAATGCATCCGCTCACACTGGAGCAGATTTATATGTACATTTTGCTGGTAGCATTAGTAATAGTCCACTTTTCTGTGGCTTTTCTGTCTACAGCCAAACATGATACGTACTGACGGAGGAGGGAGGAAAATAGTGAAACACGCAATTGACCTAAAAGATAAAAATGTCAATGTTGCAGCGCACATACAGGACAGTAGTAAGATACACGTTTGACGTGTGTCATTGTCCTCCACATTAATGGAAATAAAATAAATCTTGTAAAAAGTGTTCACTGCATATTAGAGAGTACTTGGATGGGTCCCAGTCCTTTTGGTTGATTGCCGCCATCGTCGTCTTCTGTCTTCATGAGGAGCAGGTATCAGATAAAAAAGATTATGTCCTTGCCTGTTAG